AGTTGAAAAATGTCCCGAGAACTTCGTACTGTACGGAGTATACATTTCTTTACTTAGCTCGGTCGGCCTGGCAGGCTGGCACGACCTGGGCTGAACCGATCTTCCGAACGCCCCATGATCACGACAAGTGGGAGAAACTTGACGGATCAGATAGTAAGCTTTGGGCTCACCGACAGTCAGCAGCACAACCAGAACCTCAGAATATAGTTCCGGTTGACCAGGCTATTGAATTTATCTCCTCCTCTTTACGAGCCCCTTCTCGCTTCTCATGACTTGGTAGATACCCCATTCACTCCCTCCAGTATACGAGTGAGAGCTTCCACAGTAGCAATACTTAAGCGTATCGAGTTACTCCCATAGAGCATCAGTAAGCGAGTCCTTCCCAGTCGAGCCATCCAGAGTCTCGGGTTCAGCCCCAAGAAGAATGTTGCCAAGCTTTGAAATATCCAAAGAGATTAACTTTGCGATCTGGAAGCTCGGATTGCCTGCCTAATTGCCTACCTGCCTATAGTAGGTGGTGGCCGAAATATCCGCTACATACCTTAAACTCAGTCTGCCTCAAGCGGCTCTTCCTCGATCGTCTCTGACATGATCTGTTACGAAAGGCAAAACGTTGTTTCAAACCCTACAGTGGCCGAGAACTTTCCGAACGAGAGAGGGAGAAAGAGGGAGGGAGAAAGAGAGAAAAAGAGTTGAATGGTGTGTGTGGCTACTGCAATGCACTGCGTCAATAGCCAAAATTCTAACTCTGAAAGATTAACTTGTAGATTTTTCAGTCGAATTGACAACTAGACCGAATCTTTCCATGCTTTTTTTGTTTGTTGTAATGTAGCTCTACTTCCGTTGGGTGCTTCTATTGATTCTCCTTTCCCAATTCGTGCTCTGCCCTACAGTTGGGGGCCCGTTCTCTCGATACTCTGCGTGGCTGGCTGTCATCAACTGGAAGTATAGGAGGGAATTTATGTGATCTACCAATCCCAAAGATGCCGGTGAATATTCCAGATGCACCCCATAGATGCATTGCGAATCCAGCGCCTCTTGCTCAGTACTACGCGATTCCGTGATGCTGAAACAACTTGTTGTTCGGCTCGGTTGAGAAGAGCTGACATCATCTACACTTTTGACAATTCAGCATAGGGAACTCGGTAGTTATATAAGTTTACATGGTACAGAGCACCAACCTTACCACTTACCACAATTGAAGGAAGACTGGATCTTGAGGGTTCACAGTTTCACGGTACCAACTCGGGACATCCGATTCGATTCGTATTGCAAACGTTTAAGTTGGCGCGGCCCCCTCCCCCCAAAAGAAGGAAACCAAGAACAGATAACTTACTACGAAAGACAATCACGGCAGATGGTTGAATCATAATGATCTGTCCCATGGTACACAAAGCTCCGTAGGAGTCTGTGACACGGGAATTCATGCTGCAACCGGAGACGAAAAGAGAAGCAGGAGCCTAAATTTCATTCAGAGAGCAGAGGGAGGGGGGAACACGAAAACGCGGGTTGTGCCCATTACTCTCGTCGTGGGTTACACACTGGTGGAACAAATCTGAACCACGGAACTAGTTGACGGGAGGATCCCACTGGTAGCTGGAGATTGGAATGACCTGACTCGAATTTCATAGGAATTCGAACTTGTGGTAAAGGAAGTCTGGTACCCTCAGGGGAATTTGAGTTCAACTTCTTTTTTTTTTCTCTGTGTGTTTGTTTGTTTTTTAAAGGGGTTGTGTGCTTGGTGACTCGGAGAATTAAGAGGTTCGGTTTGGATAGATAGTAGTACAGTACACAGATGGCAGCCATGAGATACTTGTTGTGTTTGGGAAGAACGAGACCACCGCCATACTTATCATGTTGAGGCATAAGGCGGGAAATCCGGGGTGATGCTGATGGTTGGTAAGGTGATGATCTTCTCGGTGAGATCATTGTACAGGAGAAACCCTTCCGGGATTCCTCCCCCCATGAGATTGCGTCGAGTTAAACCCTTCCTGTTCCTGCTACGACGAAGACTTATTTTTTGCATGGTAAATAACGATTACAAAGCTAAGTTACCTAGTCTCAGGGGCAAGATGCTCGGAAGACCATCATCCAGTGCCGGCCATGCTAAAACAGATGTGTGGGAAGTGGTTTGCAGGACGTTCAGCAAGAAACCCTGGACGTTAAGTTACTATCGGTCTGGTATAATAATGGCATTAATCTATTATTATCCACGAGGGAAGGCCCCTCTTATGCCCATCGGTGCAAGGCGGCAACAGTCCCGCGGCGACCGAGGGAACTTTCCCCTTCGCGGTTACCGACTAGCTACCTCCGGACGGTTTCTCCGAGCTTCCGTAGCACTTTTTTTCTTTTCGATTTCTGGGAAAAACCTGGGCAGGACTTGCCAGGACTAGCAGTCATGGCGTGACAGCTAAGAATTTTAGTTGGCGTGTGGCTGCAAAGCAGCTTCCAATTTGCTCCGTTCCCATCGGACTATCCAGTTCGCTAGGAACGCATATGGTCCCAGTCATGGGCTCATGCACCTAGCACGTTCTGTTCAGTTCTTCTTCTGATACCGAGGAGGAGTTGTTGCTGCTGCTGTTGCCCAGACAGAGATGCAAATCAGGGCAGGGAAAAGGAGGCGGCTCATCTTGGCCTGAGGCAGGCCAAGTGGTCAAACACGCTGACAGTAGTAGTAGTATTCTTACCTATTCAAACTGCACAAGCTCATTACTAAGAACATACAAACACCTATCATCATCACCATCATCACCACCATCACCTTCACTCAACTACCCCTCCAGAAGTACGTACTTACGTAGAAGAGATCGATCCCACTGATCCCACTTATCATCTATCGATATCTACCACGGAACCAGGCACCGGCAGATTTACTTACGCCCCGTCCACCATCCACTCCTAGCCCTCCAGGTAACCTTAGTTTCTTCGCCTTCGATTACTGTTTCCATCCATGGATGGAGTGGGTTGGCATTACTATCTGTCCATAGGAAGAGAGGGGTTTCGCTGCTCTTGACCCGCTCACGTATCGAGGATGGGGAATAGTCGTATCGATAACAATACTAGGTACGGAATACTTCCTTAGTCTACGGAGTCCTGAGTAGGATAGCAAGGCAAAAGGGCAGAAAAAGGCAGAGCATGACTTATCGTTACTACGGAGTACTACTGAGCGAGCAAGACTACGAGTGACTAGTCCCCAGTCTAGTACCTACTCCGTACTAACCTCCATACTCTCTCCGTACCGGTTACAAGCTGATGGACCCGGGTTTACCGTTCTATGCCCTCTCCAGTCTACAGCCCCAAAGATGTCTTACCCCTTTCGTCGGACGAGCGAATAATAATAGCTCGCTGGCTGATGCAGAAGGGAGAGGCCCAGGACCGACTCTCAGGAGAAGAATTCGAACTTTAATCTACCTACGGCTAACTTAACTTATCTGACTGCGAACGATTCACCGGGCTGGGTGATATGATTGATTTATCTTCTCATCCATCAGAGTGAGAGGATCATAGAGTGATACATGGTAGGTGTCAAGCTTGACAATCACTGCATTTTCTCAACTACTGCTTTTCATGTATGACTGGCACCTGCAATAAGAGTAATCTTTATGAAAAATATTATTCTTTTGCATCTTCTTTTTAAGGTTCTCCGAAGAGACTCTGTACTCTCTGTATGTAGCATAAAGTACAATGTATGTACATACACTTCATCCGTTTTGCCTCGTGGAATTTCTATCAGCAATCACCCACCCACCATCTTGTCCACTTTATTTTTTTTTGTACTTTTTTCTTCTTTTGTTTTTAGAGATTTATCTGGCTGGGAAATCACCCTTTCAACTTCTACATGAAATGACCACCTACAAAATAAATTCAAAATTCGTGAATCAAATCAGCATGAAATAAATAAAAGACCATCAGAATTGGTCAGTATTAGAGAGATTGGGAGTAAAGAAAGTGTGTGTGCCTGGCGTTCCGTTCTTCTCGCGGTGTCTGGAAAATCCCGTCCGCCAGTCTCCGCCCGCCTGTCAGTCGTCGGCCTCCCCTAAGAGTGAGCAACAGAGAAAAGAGAGAGCGAGAGAGAGAGACAGAGTGTGAGCGAAACAAGCAGCGAGCGCAGCGCAACTCCCATCCCATCCCATCCCCATCCCCATCCCCATCCCCATCATTCCTCCCGTCCATCATCTCTCCTCTCACTCTCACTCTCACCCTCACTCACTCTCCCTCCCTCCCTAATTCCTTTTCCTCTTCCTCTCCCATCTTACCCTTCAGCCCTTCAGGCTCTCTTCTTCTCTTCTTTTTCTTCCTCTCCTCTATCCGTTTTCTCGCCTACCCCATCTCTTTTTCTCTCCCCTCGCTCCTCCCCGTCCTCGCCCGCCGGCCCGTCTTCTGCTTGATTCAGAAGACAAGGTGCCCAGCCTGGAGGACTCTTCTCCCTCCACTTCTCCCATTGTCCGTTTTCTCCTCCTTCATCTTCTTTCGCCGTCTGCTTCCTTATCGTTCCGATCTTCATTTTCATCTGTGTACATGGCTCGACCGATTTAGACAGCCTCTGCCATCCTGGAGCTTTGTGTTCCTTCCGTCGTACCTCCGTCGCCAACACCTCCCTCTTCGATCGCCTGATCCGAGCCCTTCGTTTCCTTTTCTTCCTTTTTCCTCAACAGCATTCGTTCTGCATAACAGAAGCGCATTTTCTTTATTTGTTGTATCAGTATAATCCACTGGCATTTGCTCTAGAACAGGTACGCTCCCTTCGCTATCATCCCTTCCCCTCTCCCACCCATCCACAACATCACCCCCCCCACCCCCCCCTGGGTTGAGGAGGCAAGCACCATCGTGGCTAGAGAGCCATCGACCCTTGAAATCCAACCAATCTGTTAACCCGCTCGCTTTTGTGCAATGCTGACTGACAACTGTGTGTAGCACAGAGTCTCTCCTGTTTTCCTTTTCCCTATCTTTTACTCCCACCCTTGAATACTTCTTCGGATATCCCTCGACGTTCGACTTGCTAAGTGTTGGAAGAATAATCTTGCCTCTCAAGGGACCAACATATTTGTGACGCCATCTGTCACGCGTCGGACCCTGTTTCGTTCTGAGTAGCGGAGGAGAACATCATGGCTGCGTTGGTACAGACAATTCCTCAGCAAAGTGGCACGGTTACTGTGCTCCAAACTCGACCATCATCTTCCTCGGGCGCATTCGCACCTTCTTCGCCCCTCTCGCAATCTCAAAATCCGCGGAATTCGACTATGTCCTGGAATCCTTACAATACAACGGGTAATTCAGCGACATACAGGACAGGCCACCAGGCTGTGGCCCCCTACCAATTCAACAGCACTCCCAACCTCTCCAATTCAACGAGCATGCACAATCGTCAGTCGGGTTCTCCTCACTTGAGACCCGAGCATCGTACCTCTTCTGCTCCTTCCGCACCCCAATTATCCGCAAGTCCTGCCCACGGCGGACTCAACTCGCGCTTTTCCTATCACCCTGCAGCTGGTTCTGTATCCTCATCCTCCAACTCCTCTGTTCAGTCCTACATGTCGAAAGACGACTCCGCCATCCCATCTCGGCAGCTTCGTGCTGAGCCTCCTTTACGTCCATTGTCGACGGTCAACATCCCCTCCTCGAACTTCATGAACATATCTTCTCCCACCGTTGCTCGGCCCTCTCCCGATCGGTATCGACGCGGAAATCGGCGTCCTGACAGTGCCGCGGGGCTCCCGTCTCCGCTACCACAAACGAACGCACCTGGGTCGGTACGGACTGCGCCAGCCACGATGGATGATAGCCTTCTCCAACCCAGCACACCCGGCACACCCGGCTCTCCAGGGTCAACCGGTTCTGTTTCCGATGGCGCTCGCCGCCCTGGTCACGTTCGAGCGCCCAGTGCAGACGACACTTCACGTGCGGACAAGCCTCAAACGGAATTGGCCAAGCGGTACCGTCGCCGAAGCTGGGGTACTATTGATAACGCCGGTCTCATCAACATGCAACTTCACCTGCCTACATCATCGCCGATCCCATCGACAGGTGGCCATGACTACTTCGATCAGAACCACCGACCCCGATCGGCTCAATCTAATCGAGATGTTCAAGGAAGCATTCCCTCTGCGCCCTCCTCTACATCCTCCGTGCGCGATGCAGGACACATCGAAAACGCAAACCCGTCGAGTCGAGGCCCCAGCAAACCAGAGGAAAGCAAGCGAACCAGCAAGCCCTCACCCCTTTCTCAGCCGGTTGATGTCGATTCGAAGCCTTCCTCTCCTAAACCCCCGCAGTCTACTCCAAGTCCCAAACCTACCGCAGCTGCAAATCCTCCTCCAGAACGACTATCAGAGTTGGCGAAGAACGATCTGAAACGTCCGGGTAAGTCCAGGTTGAGAAGGGCTTTCTCGTTTGGCAGTGCTTCTGAGCTCCGCAAGGCGTCGAACAAAAAAGAGGTCATTGCTACTGAAAGGGCTCGGCGGGAATTGCTACAGGAGGAGCTGGGCCCCGAGCAGGCGGCGATTGCTGAGCAGCAGGAGGCAAGTGGACTGGGCGAGAGCATTTATTCGTCCCACCACCAAGGCCGTATCTTCAACAGTTCTACCGACAACCTGTCCGTCTCGTCGACCGCGTCTTCCGCATCGATCATGCTGCGAAAGATGGGCAAAGGGATGAAACGATCGACGCGGTCTCTCGTCGGCTTGTTTCGCCCCAAGTCAATCATGAGCACATCGTCCACGGATGCTGTGATCACCGAGCCAATGGCGCCGCAACTGTCTGTGGTCAATATCGAAGCCGAGCGTAAGAGTGGAACTGTTAACGCGGACGCTCGCGATCTACCCCACGGGGGTACGGCGTTTCCTAAATTGGAGTCGATTGGATCAAGTGCCGCAGGTCATGATGATGGCGGCCTTGACAAGGGCCAGTCGCGGAAGAGCATTGTTGGAGGAGACAAAGAGCGAGCGGAAGTCCTGGCAGCAGTCCGGAAAGGCATTCTCAAAAGTAAGTAACCTGCTTCATTTGTTCGTTGATATGTCGAACAGGTTGTCTAACATTGCTGCAGAGACAAACTCGGATACCAATGTCCCTACAACTTCCACCAAGTCTTTTGAGAACTCTCAAGTGATCAACAACAGCGACTCGCCGCATTCTAGTGTTCCTAGCACACCGGAGGACCCGACGCGGTCTGGCAACCGCCGTTCCGACGCAATCAAAATTGCCGGCGAAGATGACTATCTCTCCGATAGCCGGTTCCTGGGGTCTGAGGCCAAAAGCGCCCCCGTCACGCCGCTTTCCAAGAGCCTTGTTTTCAGTCCCCGTATCCAGTTTCATGAGACGTGGCCCAGTGGGGAGTATGATCGACGGGGTGACATTGCCACTTGCAATCGCCTGACGCCCCTGCTCGCCCAGCAGATCAAGGAGGAGCTCAACAACTTCAAAATGGTACGTATTTGCATCCCATGCTGGCTGCGACGAGTGTAACTAACTGTCTGGGACAGGAGATGGAAGTCCATGAAACGTCGAAAATCTATACCCACTTCCTCTGAGTCGCTGCATTTATGAAAGGCGTTTTAACTGCGTGTCTTGTCTTATTTAATCTCGCGAGGAGTGTTGGATCGATCTATGACGGCATGGTACCCCTTGGTATCTTGTAGACCTGTTTCCTTTTTTTACCCCTAGAGGATGTTTTGGTTTTCGATCCGGGCTGATCTTCGACCTCGGTTTCGCGCCCGAGACCTCCCATTCAACCTGTGCTCGACGGTTCAACCGCCCATCTCTTCATGCGTTTTTCCTGCGTTCTGGGTGTTACGGCGAAAACCACCTCCAGGTCTTGGACTTCTTTTCGTGTCTTGTGTTCTTTTATCTACGCATGGAGGTCTATGGGGAGTCTTTCCACGGCCAGTGGGGAATTGCTTGGGATCGATGGGTACAGCGAAAGGCACTATCGCCCGTGGTCTTTTCGACTCGGTGGCCTTCGGTCTTTGCTGCACCCAGATATCAGGCCCCGATCTCGTCGACTCTGCCAGCGTCACGTTGTACGTGCGAGCCCAGTGACGTTTATGGTTTCCTGGACCTTTCTCATCAACACTAATTGCGTACCCTCCCACTAAATGATCGGGGGGACGGTCAATCGACCATTGCATCCGAGCCAGTCCGTCAGTCATTATTTCAGTCATCTCTTTAATCTTGCGGTTGTTGCTTTTGTTCTGGAAGCGTGGAAATTGGGCAGCATCTCCTTTGCACACATTCACACCTTGTCTCATAGTGTCATCGTGCCATTGTTTCTTTTTTTTTCCGTCCTGCGTCTGCCATGGTGTTTGTTATGTGTGTGTGTACAGCGAAATCTTCTTTTTTCTCTTTATTTTTTTTTTCTAGAAGTGGTACACATGGAGTGATGTTGTGGACCGCTCTTCTCCTAGTGTTGACTGGTACTGGTGAAGCAATGCAATAGTTCGCCTGAGCTCATATGATACTGTCATGCGTAGATCTTTATGATTTATTGTATTCGATAGAGGGTGGCGGGTCAGTGTTTCTCCTGGCTCACTTCTAGTTATACCATTGATCCGGAGACGGAAAAGAATTTAAGTAGAAGGAGTCCGAATTGTTGAGGGAAGAAGAAGAGCAGGCGAAGGAGGAAAAAGTCATTAGGTAAGGGGGGTATGTCGAGAGGAAGAGCGAGGGTTGTAAGGTTGTGGGGGGAGGAAAAAGCAACCCCCACGCTTTCCTTTGAATTTTCCAAACCATCCTCAGGCTTCCTCTGGGGAAAACCCGAAAATCGGCATCTTTCTTTTCCCCGCTTTCACTTGCCTGGGGCCCATCCGCCGCCTACGGCTCGCCCAATGCTCCCAATGCTCCCACTGCTCCCGATGCTCCCACCTCCTCGCTCTCCGCAATCCTCGGATCCGCAGCCACTACCACGCCCATGTCCTCACCCTGACGAGTGTCAGCTCGCTTAAATGCCTTTGATATTTTCCGAGCGTGGAGGTGACGACGGTGGTGGTGGTGGTGGTGGTGGTGGTGGTGCTGGCGGTGGTGGAGGCGTCGGGATAGAAAAGGTGGATCGGGATCGGTCCCGTGGTCACCAGGTATCCTGTCTGTTTGTCTGTCTGTCTGTCTGTCTGTCAATGAGTCGGTCTGATTCGATCCCTTTGTTTCTCGTCAAGCTTCTTCAAAAAGGGAAAAATTTTGCCTCCGGCGACACCCGCGTCAGGTCCTTTTTCTTTCTCATTGAATGACGGATGGACGGTCCAGCCCGCCGCCGGGCAGACAGGACGGACCATGGACCATGGGCTGATGGTCGCATTGGGTTGGAAGCCGAGATTCTTTCCCGATTCTCGTTTCGGGCTGGTTGGGTGATGCGCGGGGGCAGGGGGGGAGAAGGGAGTTTGGTGTGCTGTGCTATGTTGTTGGTCACTTGATTGATTGAATGTGTAGAATAGGGGGAATTTGAGGTGTTTGAGCCTTGTTTGTCAATGCTGGAAGCACTGCATCTGGGTTGAATCATTCGGACTGTGTGTATAGTAGTACACTGTGAGTACCCAGTACGAAGTAGTACTTTCCCAGAATGCAAACAGTTGCAACGTCGGACGGCAACCCCCACGTTCTCTCCGCTTTTTCCCTTTCGGCTTCGTCTTTTGGTGTGTTCCGCCTTTTCGCCTTCTTGTCTTCCCGTCTCCATACAACAGACAACCTTGATCAACCACTGGCACTGATGCATCATCATCATCATCATCATCGTCATCGTCATCCTTGACATTAGTACTATGTATCTCCTCCCTCGTCGGAATCTCTTCGGTAACCCCCACGCCCAGTCCTTCCCCCCAGGATCGATGCCGATTCGGTGTGGCATGTCTCCAGTCCGTCCCCCAGACCCTCTTTTTTCCCCGACTCTCCTCCATCCTCCATTCCATCAGTCTGGGGTGACCCCAAAAAAATCCCGGTTTTGCTGTCCGCTTCTTCGGCTCCCACCATGCCCTGCACACAAAAAGGTTCCTGATCCCGACTTGGCTGGCTGCCCTGTCTTGTCTCTTACACCCTTCCCTCCTCCTCCTCCTCTTCTTCTTCTTCTCTCTCCTCTTGATACCCCTTCCTTTTTCTCTTTCACTGAGTTACCCTATTCTGTGATACTCGGGTCTTTCATTCATCGCTTTTGGAGGCCAATCTATAGACTCCGTTCCCCAAACTAGGAGACGCAATATGTCTCCCAGGACCTCTTATGATCCCGAACGGGACATCGACAAGAGCCATGTCGACAACGTCGAAATCGTCCCCAATGCAGTGGCCAACGCCGACAAGCCCAATCCTCGCAAAGAGGCCCCGGCCTATGTCGCCAGTCTGTCGCCCGAGGAGCGTCAGAAAGCCGAACGCGCTCTGGTCCGCAAGATCGATTTGCGTCTGCTGCCTATGCTTATTATCATGTATATCTTGAATTACCTGGACCGGAATAATATTGTACGTGACCCGTGGCCCCTTCTTTCGATCCTTGTTGCTGATCACCTACTAGGCGGCTGCCAAATTGGCCGGTCTCGAGGAAGATTTGGGCCTGGTGGGAGTGCAATATCAGACCTGCGTCAGTATTCTGTTTGTGGGTTATTTGTTGATGCAGAGTAAGAGCCCCTCTTTTGTTTCTTTTTGCGTCGTTATGAATAAGTTCTGATTATTTAGTTCCGTCCAACCTGCTGCTCAACAAGATCGGTAAACCCGCTCTCTACCTCCCGGGATCTATGTTGCTCTGGGGTATTATCTCGACGTGCACCGCTGGCGCTCAAAGTTATGCTGGTCTGGTCATCGTTCGGTTCTTCTTGGGTTTCGTGGAGGCAGCCTATTTTGTATGCGTTCGCCCCTGGCAAGATCCGCAAAGGGTTTGCTGACTCTCTCTCTCTTTTAGCCCGGATGTCTCTACTTCTTGAGTGCCTGGTATACTCGCAAGGAACTTGGATTCCGTACTGCCGCGCTGTACTCGGGTTCTCTCCTGTCGGGAGCCTTCTCTGGCCTCATCGCTGCAGGCATCACGGATGGGATGGATCACAAAATGGGACTTCGGTCATGGTAAGTACACTCAAGCGAGCTTTATGTACCCTTTACTGACTTTGGCCAGGCGCTGGCTTTTCATTATCGAGGGAGCCATCACCATCGTTGTGGCCTTCTCCTCTGTCTTCATTCTCCCCAATTTCCCGCGTACCACTCCATGGCTCACCGAGGAGGAGAAGCAGCTGGCTGCTTGGCGTCTGGAGGAAGACATTGGCGAAGACGATTGGGTCGATAGCGAGCAGCAGACCTTCTTGCATGGTGTCAAGCTGGCTTTCACTGACATTAAGACCTACCTGTTGGTAAGTCAATCTACTATCGCACATAATCCTTCTGCTTCTTCCATCGCTAATGAACTTAGATGCTTCTTATTCTCGGAATTGTCTCCTCTGCCTCGGTCACCAATTTCTTCCCCACTGTTGTGAAGACCCTCAACTACGGCAACATCGAGACCTTGTGTCTGACCGCCCCTCCCTACTGTCTGGCCGTCATCACCGCCTTCACCAACGCCTGGCACGCCGACCGGACCGGTGAGCGCTATTTCCACATCACCCTACCACTCTACATCTCCGTGGCGGCCTTTATCCTCGCTGCCGCCACCACGAGCGTCGCTCCGCGCTACGTGGCCATGATGCTCATGGTCCCCTCCTTCTACGCCAGCTACGTCGTGGCCTTGGGCTGGATCTCGAGCACCTTGCCTCGTCCGGCCTCCAAGCGTGCCGCGGCCCTGGCGGGCATCAACTGTATCAGTAACATCAGTAGTATCTACGCGAGCTACATGTACCCTGACAGCGATGCTCCGCGCTACGGTGAGTCTCTTGCACCCCATCCCGTGTTGCTTTTGCAGAGCCTAATAAGAGATATAGTCACCGCCATGTCCGTCAACTGCGCCACAGCCTTCCTGGCCATTCTCGCCGCGACGGCGCTCCGCTTCGTTCTGGTGCGGCTGAACAAGAAACTCGACCGCGGAGAAGGCATCAGCAGCGGGGAGGTGCCTGGCCAAGCCAGTTCCAGAGGCTTCCGATTCCTGGTCTAAGGTCTCTGTATCCTGGGACAGGGTGCCTGGACGTGTATATTTTTTTTGTTTTGGTCAGTTATGAGAAGGGTATATCATGAGAGTGAACTAGCTATAGCTGGCTATATGACTTGTTTTTATGATTCCAACAAGTCGAGTAAATATGATTGATTCTCTGTACAAATGCTTTTCTGTTGGCCAGTGTAAGTGTATCTCTGCCAGATAGAGCACGTGCGCTTTTTGGCCACGTATGGAAACCAGCAAGTAAAGAATTCATACGCTGGGAGTTATCGACCTAGTCGTGAAAAAAGCCCCCTGGCCCCATAGCCACAAACTGAGTTCCCAGTCAATTCCGGGACTAACCAACCATCCCGGTAGTGCTCTACGGAACTGTCTGTACAGTACTCAGCTGAAGACTCCAGATGACACCTGCGAGAGAGAGAGAGGTGGAAGGTGCTCGGATTCGGACTACGGCAGGCTAATTAAATGCGAGAACTGACCAAGGCTTCTCAGATGGGCGGTGAGCAAGCAATCAGGGCCGCCGTCACCTCCCTTTCTCTTCTCTCTTCTTCATATGAGGAGGAGGGGGGGTTGTTGTTGGAGAAGAAGGCGATTAGGTCAGCTGATTCGCCTGGTTGGGGGGAGGTCGCATGGTGTCTGTGGGGTTGCCTTGAAAACCTCGTGTCTATCTCTCTTTTGCTTCGAATCCAAGGATAGACCGGAGGCATCAATGCCGAAGATCCAGGCGACCTGTAGATAAGAGTGCTCATACTTTGCCCTAATGCTAGTCTAACACCCAATGCAGACAATAGGTACACATTTAATGTTCTTCATTCTTCATTCAAGCTAAGTATGCTTGCTGTACATCATCCCCCAAGACTACTAGCCTAGACACATCAAGAACACAAGACTGTACCTCCCAAGACTTGCCGCCGTTTAAGCATACTTCTCGCGCACCTCGGTCCACCCGGGCCGCAACTCCGCCGTCTCCAGCGCGGCCACATTCAACGAACTGTCGGCCACATAGTTCACGCGCCAGTCCACACTGATCCCGGCGCCGGCCTCGGTCTGCGCCCACACCGCCACGGCGATGGTGTTCTCGCCGTTGTAGTTCAGCACGCCCGCGGGGACCGGGTAGACGACCTGGTTGCCGATGTAGGGGAAGTACCGGCCGTACTGGTAGCCGTTGACGAACAGCTGGGCGCGGTAGGCGTTGCTGGGGGCGTCGTCGGGGGTGCCGAGAACGAACGAGATGGAGACGTCCAGTCCGGTGGGGATCTGGAGGGGCACCGTGGTGCGGAAGAATTTAATGGTTGCGCCGGTGAAGGACAAGGAGGAAGAAGAGGACGAAGAAGCGACGGTCCACTTGCTGTCGTCGAAGTCCGGAAGGTGCCAGCCGACGCGCTCGGCGAAGAGGCCGTCTTCGTTGTAGACGCCGCGGACGGGGTCCAGATTGGATTCTCCGCCCGCGGTGCCGGCGAGGCGCCAGTGGGTGAACTCGGGGGCGGTAGAGGAGGTGTTAGACAACAAACGCGCTTCGAGGATACCGCGGGGGTTGAGGACGCCGGTGGTCTCGTCGTGGCCGGTGTCGTCGTGAACGACGAGCAGGACGTTGGGGGTGGTCTTGGGGTCGGACGAGAGGTACTCGGCGGGGAAGGTGATGGTCTTGTTGGCCTGGGTGATGGTAGCGTTGCCGAGGTAGGAGCCGACGAAATGGCCGTTCAACCAGGCGGAGAAGCCGCTAGTGTGGGGGTTAGCTGGTTACTTTCTCTACGGGTAGGAGGGGTTAAAGGGTGGAGGGGAGGAGGGATGAGCTTACAATGCGTCTCCACCTTGAATGTTGAGGAATACGCCGGAGGCGGAGCTGTTGAAGTATCCGCGGAACAGACGAATGCCGTTGTGGAAACCTGTAGTCGCGATTAGTTGATTGTTGGTCTTGTACCAAGCCAGACTGCCTACCGTAGTCATCACCGTAAAGGACTGGAAGGGTCGCCGGGGGCTGGGGGTTGTAGGTCGTCATGTGGTCGGCCGCTTGAATTCTGTTAGGCTGTAACCTAAAGTAGATCGGGGTCGAGTATACATACCAACCCAAGCAGCACCTGTATCATCATATGATACACTACGCTCAGGCAAGCTGTCGTTCGATCTCCAGGACGTGAAAGCTGGAAGAGTAATAGCCTTGGGAGCAGCCAAAGAGGCTCGCAGACTACCGTGGGCAGTCTTGGTCGACTTGATCTGCTTGCCGTTCCAGGTCAGGCTCTTGACCTTCTTGGAAGCGAAGACCTCAATCTCCGTAGCGTTGACAGCGTCACCCTTGATTTCAAGAGTGTTGCCATCTTCCTTCACGGAACGGACAAGGTAGGGACCTTGGATGAGTACTATAAAGAAGTCAGTATTCTGCAGACGATATGCCGAGGTGAGCTTTCCATACCTGTCTCGTTGGCAGGGGCCAAAGGATTCTCGGTAAGGGTAGGGGCCCAGAAGAGATAGGCTGCAGTCCGATCCAGAAGAACCACGCGCAGCTTGTCGTCGATCTTCAGCACACTCATTCCCGCGGACTGAGTGAAACTGACGGTCAGACTGCCTCCCTGCCGCTTGAAGGTCGGCTGAGAGCATTTCGCACACTTCGAGAGGACGGATCCAGACTTGGCACCCTTCACAGCGAACTCTCCAGACTCGCCGGTCGGCACCCAGAGGACAAGGGTCGGCTCATTGTCGATGACCGAGTAGGTAAGCACTTCGGCCGTAGAGTACAGCAGAGTCTCCGAGCCGAGATTAAAGTCCGTGACAATGATCTTGGACTGATGTCCATCGATTCTGATCTTGCCTCCGTTGCGGGGAACGATCAGGTTTCCAGCCGACGTATTGAGGTGCAGCTTGAAAGCTTCATCCGTGTCCGAGGTGGAGTCCGCGTGCCGCGTCACGTAGAATGCAGCATTGGTCTCCGGGTTCCGAAGTTCATAGGTAGTGATAACGGAGTTGTCGGTGTA